GTAGGTAAATAAACTTGAATGACCCAAAGTTTAAATTTGTTTTTGAATTAAAAGTCAAAGTAAATAATACAATCAAAAAATAAAGCTTAATTAAAAATATGTGTGTTCAGATTGTTACAAACTATCAATCTGACACCTTGACATTTTTGATGATGATTATAAGAATGAAAAAAATATTTAAAAGGTTTGTTATAAATATTCTTGTTAAAATGATGAGCTTGTAATAGGTTAAGATGTGTTTTACTTAAGCCTAATATATCTATGTTGAAGTTGTTAAAAAAGGAGTCAATGATTTGAAGTTCAGATTCTGATGAACAGTTTCTAACATTATATGTTGCAAAGGAAATGGGGTTTGGGTTATTGATAATATTTGTGAAAGATTTATTTGAAAGAAAATTATTATTATGAGGATTTGTATAATGCAATTCTATACTATTATTAGTTAATTATACACTCATTTAAAAGAAGAAGGAAATGTTTGAAGGATCTGTTAGATGTTATTCACAATATTTTTAATTTCAAATCAGAATTCTATGAATTGATTTTCTAATCTGGTAACTTTATTTAGAGGAAATGTGTTAGTTGAAGAATTTGAAGGAGATTGATCGCATGATGATTCAAATGGTAGTTCTGGAGAATCATCAAATTCTATTTCACTGTCCTATACTCCTTTAGTATGAATAGTGTTATTACATTTCTCCAATTTAATTATACAATAATCTATATCTTCTTAGTTTTCTTGAAGAATAATGATTTCATTTTTTGCTGTAATAATTTCGTCATTAAGAAAGATCAGCTTATTATCTATATCATTCAAATGTTTCAAAATATTGTTTAAAGCTGTAGAAATATCTGAGATTTATTGTTGATACTTAGGATTCTTAGGAGAGGTTTTCAGAATATCAGCATATAAACTTCATTGATTTTAGCTTGATTGTGCGTTTACAGTATAGTTATTTGTATATATATTAGATTTTTGAGAAGGTCTGTAAGTGGCAGGTTTGAAATGATCATATAATTTCTTATATGGATTTGAAGGTTTTTGAGAGCACAGTCTTTAGCTTTATAATTAGGATTGCCACATTGTCGATAGTGAGAAGTAGCAGAATTGACCTAAAATAAAATATTTGATTTAAATTTATATTGAGATTTGATCACAGATTCATAATCATCTTGGTTATTAAAGTTAATGTACACATAAGAACGATTATAATATTAGAGATCACGTAGTATAAAATATATCTTTATTTTAATAGACTCAAGGAAGGTTAATAAATCTCATTGCATTGTATTAAATGGTAATTCAATTAGTTTTATTTCAAATTATTATTGTAGGATTAATTGCATAGTATCAAGGTCAGTGTATATATAAATAAATAGTAAAATTGATGTTTTAATCAAATACTTTTATAATATTAATCAAATATTTTAAAAAAAAATTCTATGTTAAATTTTTTAATAGTATTCATCTTATAATTTTTATAATAAAACTATAAGAAATAAATATATATATAAAAAAGATTTAATTAACTTATTACTAATATAAATATAAGATATTTAATAATATTAAAAAACTTTAGAAAAAGAATTTATAAATATTATAAAAAACATATTAATTAGTAAAATTCTTTATTTTAAAGATAATTGACTTAAATATATTAGTTTATTGTATTTAGAAATTATTTTTTAATTAGTTAAAAAGATTACAATAATTTTTGAAGTAAGATTATAAAAATTTGATTAGTTTAGAATATAATAAAAGACTATTATTATGATAAAAATATCCTAATATCTATCTGTTTAAAATTTGAGTTGATATATAATTAACCTATTTTATTAATAATTTCTAAACTATTTTTTAATTATTAATAATAAAAGAATAAAAAAAATATAATTCTTATATTAGTATAATTTATTATAAATATTTGAAATTTATACAAAATAATATATATATACATTTCAAGAATATGCTGAATTATTTATTTTTTTTAGAGATTTTAGATCAATTTTCTATATATATATATATATATATATGAAGATTTTATTAAATATATTAAACTTTTAGTTATATTATTTTATTTATTAAGCTTGTAAATTTTATCTAAATGCTATGATCATTAAATTTTATATTTTATAAATATATGATATTTTAGAGTTTAATAGCTTAATAAGAGCTATATTTGCTTAATATATTTTTACTACATATTATTTAGAGGATTTATTTTACAAATTAATTTTATTTATTAAAGAATCTTCATATTTATAGTATTACTTTTTTATATATGTATATATATTATATTCATTTATTTATAATTTATTTCTTATATATTTCTTTTTTTTATTATTATATATTTTTTCTTCATTATTATAATTTTAATTTTTAATTTCTAATAATTCTTCTTATATTTTATTATTATTATATTATATCTATTTTAAATTTCTAATTAATTTTTAATTTTTTTTTTCTTTTACATTTCTTAAGTTTATATTATAATTCTTCTTTTTCTTCTATATTTCTAAATATATTTATATTTCTTTTCATTATTCTAACAATTTCTTTTTCTTAGTAATATAGGTTACATAAATATTTTATGTCTTAATTTATTTAATTTTTTTTATTTAAACTTTTATATAATCTTTATAAATTATTCATAGGTTATCTTTTTCTTCTTTTTTTATTTTAAGAAATTTCTTTATAATTTTTTTCTTTATGATTTTAGTGGTTTATTTTTCTATATTTCATAATTTATATATATTCTATGATATATTTATATTATTTATTATTTTATTATATGATTTATCTTTTTATATCATATTATGTGATTTATATTTTATATTATATATTTTGATTAATTATTATTTATTATGATCTTTTGTGTAATTAGTTATTTTTTAATCTTTTAATATTATAATTTTTTCAAATTATGTAATATAATATTTATTATTTTTTGACTTTATTATGTTTAATTTAATATTAATCTTTTAAATTAAATGAAAATGGTATTATATATTAATAATTATTTATAAAATAAAAAAATTTTAAAAAGTATTAGAAAAACAAAATCAAAATTCTTAAAAAGAAAAATTGAATTTTATATATAAAGATGGTGATTGTAATTAAAAAAAATGGCACAATTGAGTTATAACTTGTGATGCAATTAAATTTTCTTATGGCGCAATTAAGTTGCAACTCAATTGAAATTTGAAAATAATTATAAGGACAATTTTTAATTATATACAATTTTATATATATGAAAAGTTAAAATATCATAAGTTTGATATTTATATTATAATTATTAATCAATAAATATATATTAAAATTCTTAGTTTATGGCTTTATTACTATATATTATAATCAAATCATTAGAAAATAAGCTAAAGTATATTACTTTTATTTTAAATAGATCTTATTATCACAATGCCAATTAATAATTATTTAGAAAATTAGTTAAAATAAGTATTTAATTTTATAAAAATTGGATAGTTTATAAAGCAGAAAAACTATTAATAGCAACTATGCACAGGTACTAACAAAATAAAATAAATATAACCTATTTTGTATAATAAATGTTAAAATTTTAGATTATTTACATAATAAAATATCAAGTATATTTTAGATTAAATATAATAGAAGGTACTAATATTAAAACTGCAATTATAAATATTTGTAAAACATCTGTTATATATTTAAAATCAAATCAGAATAAAAGGTAAATTTCTACAAATCAAATAAAATAACTAAAGAATATTATCTGATAAATATAAAATTTCTTTAATTTAATATAGCTTAAATTTAAATAACATTAATGTCACTTTCTTTTATAAAAGATAAAATCATATAATGCAAGTTTGTAAAATAAAATATTTAAATTATAAGAAATTATAAGTAATAAAATAATTAAAATTTGAAAAATATATAGCATTTTAAGGAATTAAATTTTTTTTGTGAAGTTCCTATTAATTTAGATTACTAAATAATTAGAATTTTTAAGATAATCTATATTATTTAACATATAATTACAAAAGAAAGAAATATATAATAACAAATTTTAATTATCTAAATTAAAATTAAATTAATAAATTGAATTCAAATCTTTCTTAAACTTAATTCAAGATAAAAATTTTAATTCTAAAGTATAATTAATTCAACAAAAAAAGCAATAAGTATATTTTATTGTAAAAGTTTTATAAGTCTAGCCAGGTTAATTACAATACTATTTATATATAATTAAATAAGATAATAAGATAATAAATATCACAAATAAAATGTAAGTATATAACTATATAATAAATAAAACAAATATACTAAATAAATATAACAAGTAAAATAAGAATAAATATAGAGAAATATGATATATTTGATATCTTTGATATTTCTGATATGCGCCGCAGCTACTGAGCCATCGGTAATTCTATCGGATACTTCGCCGATAACTTCACAGTTGATACTTCACAGTTACTACAAATAATAAAAATATCGGTTCATGAAAATCAGCATGAACTGAACTAACCCTAAATTGTGACAAATGATGTGACAATATAGAAATAATGAAAAAATGGTGTGAACGTTTTCAATTCACGTGACATACCGGATAATTATTCTAATTATACTAGATAGTTAGTTGCAATGATCTTCGCGCGAATGTTACTTCAGTCGAGAAAAGGAAAGGATTAATAATTATATTAAAATCTATAATTATATATATATTATATATAAAAGTAATAATTATTACTTAATCAAAGAAAATAATTAAAACACATATTTATATTAATGCATATAATAGCAATTTTTCACAAAATATTATATTTTACTTTCAATAAATATTAAAAGAATTTCCGCTAGAAGTAATCCGTAGAAACATGATTGCTATTGTACAAATGAATAAAGACAAAAACAAATTGAACTAATGGAACTCCTGTGGTCGTACAAGGTGTTTTCTATTTAGAATAAATACCGATCTTTATCGTTTTTGAATTTTATTTTGATTAAAAAAAAAAAAATGTCTTCCGAAACATATCATACGGCAAAGGATTCTTTTTTCGTTAATTCTAGTGAACATATTCAAATTGAAGTTTTGCATTATCCTCCTATTAATAAAACTCAGGTAAGCATTAAATTATAAACCCACCCAAATTCTTTTTTATTATTATTATTAATAATTATCATATAAACATAGAATTATCCACCAATTTTATTCATCCATGGAGGTTTTCTTGCGGCTTGGTCTTGGGATGATTTTTCTCATTGGTTTTCGGATAAAGGATTTGATTGTTATGCAATGAGGTAAAATGAAACATTAATTAAAGGCTCGTTTGAATTTCAATTAAAATGAATTTTATCTTAAGTTTTCGAGGACATGGACAAAGTACGAAGACTCCTAATAAGGACAAATGGTGGTCATTAAATGAAATTACACAAGATATCTCAGCTATAACTGATGAAATTATTGCTAGAACAAAAGTTAATCCTATCCTTGTTGGGTAATGATAGAAATTATTACTTTCGCTTTTTTTTTTTTTAAAAAAAAATATTGTTCAAAAAATTTGATATATTTTATTTATTTTCACCACACCGTCAGACATTCATTTGGAGGAGCGTTGCTTCAAAATTATCTTGAAGATAATCACCAGAAAGTATCTGGAGGGGTTTTGTTGGCATCACCGTCGCCTTATTTACACAAAACAAGCTTCTTTAAAGTCATTTCAAACATCATTTCAAGTCACCAAATCTTCCCATACCTTAAAGCAATTATCACATCAAATCCGTATGCCACGATCGAAACTCCCGAATTAATGAAAAAACTCTTATTTTCTTCAGCGTATCCCGATTCCATGGCTAGAGAAATTCACCCAAGATTAGAAAAATTTGGGTTTTTCTCGGGATTTTTGGAACTAACAAAACCATTTGTTGACCCTTCAAAAATCAAATGTCCCATTATTGTAATTGGCGCCGAAGAGGAAAATGCATTCTTTGATAATGTAAAAGTGTTATCAGAAACTGCCAAAGTTTATGGAGTCGGATATGATATCGTTGGAGCTGCTGGTCATGAAATTATGTTGGACCTTACATGGGAAGATGCTGCTAAAATTGTCTTTGATAGAATCCAAGAAAGAATTATCAACAAATGAAAACTTTCTTTCATTATCATTATTATTGTATATATTTCCAACCTTTTTATGTTACGAATTTATTTTGCTTGCTGTTTTTTTTTCGAAAAATTCATATTCCTTGTTTGAAGTTGTCAATACATTAAAATGTGGCACGAATAAGCCATGGCCTTTTAGGATTAATACATAGCTTAATCTTTAATCAAAATATAAAAATTATTTACGTCATGTTAGACATTCAAAGTCATAAAGAATTTTTTTTTTTACGAGGAAAGAGTTCTAATTTGCTCGTATTTTTAGATTTTAATCATGCTTTACAAAAGTTTCATGTAACCTTTAAATGATTTATTTGTTAAAAGTTCCTTTAAACCTTGTATGCTACTTTGAACTTAAAATAACTTTGAATGAAACTAATTTTCCTTACCGTTATTAGTAAAATTTTCTGCGTTGACATTTATATCAGTAACCGGATATTCAATGTAACACGAATCGTCTCTTTGAGTAATAAAAGTGTGGACTTGTCATTGCTGTAAAGCTGTATTTGAACAGGTTCGAGTTAAAATTCAAACGAAACTCGCAGAATTCATCATAAAATAGATAGAGAAAGTTAAAGGACTAAAAAGAAGGTTCTACAATAAATTATTTATTAATGATAACATGATATAAAACAAAACGTGCGTTGGCGTGAAGCGACCATCAAAAAAAAAATTTAGTCATTTTTTTTTTGTGACTACATTTAAAAAATGTGATAATTTTTGAATCGGAGACTGAGCCGACTTTGTATCAAAAAAAGCAAGCCTCATCAGATCATTTCGGTCGAATTTGTAATTTTATGCCCGACTGAAAATGATAATATTACTAAAAATAAAATAAAGTTAGTTTCACAATTTCAAATGAGGTCACGACTCTGTCGGCGACCGAACGGGACTAACGACTGACCGAGTCTACTCCACCACTATTTTAAAGGTTACCGAGTCAAAACCTATGAAAAATCTAAAAAAAAAAAAAAAAGAATTCAGAATTGAAACGGGGATTACGTGCCGAAATCTTTTTTTCGAATTATTTATTTATTTATTTATTTATTTTTTTGCAAGGTACATTTTGATAAGATAATAATAGACCATTGGAATTTTAACAATGTTCTGCTTCTCTTGGAAATAAAACTTGAATTCCCTCAAGATGTAACATATGATGCAATAATGATGTAATATCAAAAATCAAAATATTTTTTTTGAAACCAGATTGAAACAACTTTTTCGCTTCGTCACCTCTCACAAATTATTACACTCACAAATCATGTTCCTAATCGAATGCGTTGATTTGATAGTCATGTTAATCCCAACAATACTAACTTTTTTGACCGTTACAGCCAATCATTCAAATCATTATGCGCACATGATGAGCGATATCTGAATCAGAGAAGGTTTCGTTTGGATTTCATGAATTGAAACAATTAACGTGCGTGGACCCTGAACAGAGAGAACTTGAGATCCTTTTTAGGTACATCCATTGAACTCGGAATACCCATTTTCCGAGACAATCCCGATCTGAAAAAAAGATTGTTGTACCAAAAATCATAACTAAATCATAAACTGAATTTCATTTAAAGTAGAATTTGATTGTACTTCAATGGGTGCAGAAAAATCAGGAATGACCCTTGAAAATGTTTCAACATCTGCAATTAGTACTTAAATAGGTATTATTTAAGTTTGATGAAGCTTCAAATGTATCATTAATTGAGGTACTGTATATTATTAAAACCACAAACAACCTTCTGAAACGTTTATCGTCGATACTCCGTTTATTTTTGGTTGGAACAATCCTCACAAGGGACAAAGGAACGTTGGAATAGACGTGCGTGCGTAAATTTCGAACAACCTTTCCGCTCGACTGAAAATAATTCACCGATAAATTTTTTAGACGGGAATCACGCGAAGAAGAATTCGAAAGAATTCAAGAATACGTTGCACTTTTTTTGGTAAGAATGACCTCAACATTGTAAAGTTAGCCAAAACCTTAAAACCATCACTGGGATTCAATTGAATGGTTTTAGATAATCTCAGATAATTGTAGATTTCAATTAACCCAAGGGAAAATAAAAACATTTGTTCATCGTGAAGGAATATAACGATTCCATCTTGAGTAAGATTGATAAACGGGACTTCCGCATGATTTCGAATTGGAGAGAGATTTAATTATATGCTATGCAAGAATATGCATGATTTCACCGCGCTTTTTTATTTTTATTGCCTTTTATATGCATGTTGTAATTACTCGGTCGTACGATTACGTATGTGATAAAAACTCACGTGATAAACGTACGACCCACGGGGTCGCACGATAATAGGATTTGATGATGCCTTGATGTTTACAAATAATTTACCACTTAAAAAAAAAAGGGAGAATTATTATTAATATAATCGATGGCCAAATTACCAAGTTCAGCTCGGCTAAGGTCATTCAATATTCATTTTCCGATTCAAATTCCCATTTTTTTATTTTATTTTTTTGTTTTAGGAAAATGCCTTCCTTAATGAACCAAAACGTTGTTAGTCATTCGATACAAGAAAATTCGGCCGAACAAATCCGAAGGGGGGAGTATTATGTAAAAAAGTAAAATTGCCGAACCATTATATAAATCAATTCATGTACGCTTGTTTACTTCGCCATACCATGCTTTTCACACATTTTACTACAAATCGTTAGTCAAAAAAATTAGAGTTAATTTTTTATTTGGGAAATTACAATACTCTTTTTATTCATTGTTATTATATAAATAACATTTCGATAGAAATGGAAAAGGAGAATTTAATAATAAGGACAAAAAAACAAAAATTTTTTTTTTTTTATTGTTTGTTCTTTAGCAAAATGACATTCTTTCTGATAACAAAAAAATCTACTTAACAATCAAACACGTTTTACCCTCAAACATTTTCTTCCTTCTCATCGAATCATTCTCATCTCTTTATTGAAATAAATTTAGACAATAGAAGATCTGAAGAATTTCTAGTCAGGGAACGAATCAAGTTTGGTTGTTGAAGAAAAAAAGAAAAGAAAGAAAAATAAATAAATAAAGAAAGAGGATTGGAATTCGCCAATGTTTTTCTCTTTCTTCAAAAAATAAAGTCAGATGATGAACATTCCTGGACAAGTTCTTATTTTCTCATTTTGTGAGACGGCGATTGGTCTCCGATTCACATTACTTCTTTTTTATTTTATTTTTTTTTTTTTCGCAAGATGATGATCGTCTTGTACCCTTTATTTTGACAGAGTTTGACGGAATAGAATAAACAATGATAATAAAGATGAATAACTGACATCATAAAACTTTATATAGCTTCCACAAAATTTCCTTAACCATGTAATTTTTTTTTTCATTTGTAAAATACAACTGTACATACCCGCATGTTGCATGCCCTTTTTTTTTAAAACACATTAATTCCGAAATAAGTTGGGCGCATCAACTTTTTTTTTTTTTAAAAAAAGAAATGCAAATTGCTAACCCTATCATCCCTCAAATTTAGAATTGGCTTTGTGATTAATTTTAGAATACGTGAGGTTGTATAAATTGTCGCAACACAAACAAACACACAACACATACAGTATATATATATAAATAAATAAAATAAAAAAAAAAAAATATATAATATAAAATAAAAATAATAATAAAAAAAAAAAAAATAAGAAATAAAAAATTTTATTTTATTTTATTTTATTGTACTGTAAGGTGGGTTGTTAAAGAGTTAAAACCAAACCATCCGAACCTTATTCTTTTTTCGTTTTCACTTGTTTATAATCTTTTTTTTTTTTTATTTTTTTTTTTTTTTTTAAATATATATATATATACATATACATATACATATATATAAAAATACTTTGAATTGGATTACTTTTCGGTTTAGAAATTTACCAAATCGGAATTAGAATTTTTTTTTTTTTCCCTCTACTTGAAAAAAAAAAAAAAAAGATAATAATAAAGTTAATGCGTGTAAATTGCAGTGTGACACGAAAACTTGATTTCTTATGATTTGATATATAAATATATATTTATATATATATCTAACTATACCTGAAATTTTTTCCAAAAATTATTGTTTTAAAAAAAAAAAAAAATTTCATAAACCGACACTGTGTTGACGGTTCATACAAAATAAATAATAATAAAAAAAAAAGAATGACAAATATCATTAAAAAATGCTGCTGTTGCTTCGGATTGAAGAAATCAAATCGGTCACAATCGACGCAACCATCCAAACCAATTCCGAAATGGATGTCGTTTCTTCGACGAAAGCAAGATAATCAACGTAACTCTAAAGTTCAAATAAAAGTGAATTCAAATAAAGGAAAGGGCAAGCAAACCGAGAAGGTCATTACCGA